GTTAAGTATTTTTTGCTGTTGTTTTTTTATTTTTATATTTATTACTGTCTTCTTTTTACTTTTTGGTTTCTATATTTCTTTGGTAAGCTTGAGAAAATCGCTCACTTAAATCCACAAGCATATTTCCTGATTTGCCAGCTGTTTGTTAAAAATATTTATTTGTGTGTGTGTATTTGAAATAGCCGTCTTGGCAGTAAATGAACTTTATTTTAATTACAAGACATTTACGAAATTAGTGAAGAGGTCATCAGTGTAATATGAGTATACGCAAAGCGCCTGGCAATTTAAAGCAAAAAATTGGACATAAAATTTTATAAAAAAAGAAAAAAGGTGAAAATGGTCCTTTGAGTGTATTATCAAAGTAAAAAATATTTTTGTAAATTTATACTGTTATGTTCAGGCTGAGTTAATTGTAGTGAGTGTTAATTGCACAAACGTACTACTCGGGTTCAAGTTGAAGGATAAGTGCGTACTTGTCAAAAGTGTGCTCATTTTTATTTTTTGAGTGACTGAGTGAATGAAAGAATGGTTTGAAAAGTTTAGAAAATTAATTGTAAGTTAGTATGAAAGCCGTTTATATGGTAATTTTTGCTAAGTTAATACGAGTAGCAGTGTTAAGTACTTTGTTATTCAGGAAAAGGTAATTTTACTTTATTTAAGTTGTTTTTGTAATGAAATGAGTTTAATCAGCAGCATTTAAAAGCGCTAGTTAACTTAAAGATTGCTTAAGTTGTTGTAGTTGGGAGCGGTTAATGAAATGTTAGCAACTTGCAAGCGTCCTCAATTTAAGATCATCAAGTTTGTGAACCGAGTGAAACGCAGCCTAGCAGAAAGCGAAAAAGTGACAGAGAACTATCTGAAATAGATTTTGGAAATATTAAATATGTATGAGGTAAAATTTATTGGATTTCTTTCAGCTGTTAGTTTTATATTTTTCTTAAACAAAAAAGTTGGGACTCACCTCTCACAATTCCTCTATTAGCAATTCTATTTCATTGCAGAAACTAACTTGTTTCAAAATTAAAATTAAATCCAGTTCTTGGCTAATCGCACTTCTGTCTTTCTTTTTCAACTACTAGAATCACTACTATTCCATAAACTGTTAATTAACCTTGCTCTACGCTTGACTGCATTCAATTTCTGCACATCACTGTATACTTACTAGCCATAAGAGTTGTTGTGCTCTCGCAGTAAGAACCTCCGCTTTCAATAAATCTTCAGAATTTAATTTCCGGCTAAAATGCTGCTAACCACTAGGCATGTATCTTGAGGTAGTTGTGCCAAAAGGTCGCAGCAGAAACACACAAAAGGCGAAATACACAAAAGTAGAAACAATGACAATAATAATGGCAACAACAATAAAACAACTTAAGCAGTATTAACACCTTAATCCTCTCTACTTTCCAGTTGGCAAACAAGAGAGCACATTCGAAGACACCTTATAGCAAGCATACATTTTTGCACCGGAACTAAAGTACCGCTATAAACTATGCTTTGTTTTTCTTAAACTTTGGTATATATCTTCTCCTTAACTCGTTTGGTATTCCTTAAATCTCTCTGCTTTCCGTTCATATAACCTTTGGTTCTCCATTATTGTTGCTTTGTTTTTTGTGAAGTTTTTTTGACTTTTCAAATTCCTTTAGCCTTTGTATAATTACTTTGCATTCCACTTTTTTACGCATTCTCTGCTATGCGTACAAGGACAGGGTGATTCACATGGCATAACTTTTATTTAGCGATTTAAAAAAAAAAATTATATTATTTTTAGAAGGAGAAAACCTATTTTTCATATTTAGAAAGATATTCCTCTATATCGCTCAATTATATTGTTTGGCATTCACTGCAAAGACCTGGATATTCAATAGATTGTTTGATTGTTAGATTAATATTTCTATTGTATATCAAAACTGATCAATGTTGCCAGCTTTCCGAAATATCATACTTTTGTGAAGCATATACATCACGTAAGACAGATTTTCTGTAAAATTTTCTATGCGCATAGAACTACGACTCTCACAAAAAATAAAATTAAGCATAACACACTTTATGTACTACCCTTTACACAATTCTAAATCACCTTTGGCAAGCATCACTTGGGTCTAGCCGCTTACCAGTGTCCTCACTTTGCATTCTCCTTTATTTCTGTCTATTTATGTCTTTCAAACCTTAGTCACATTTTGTTTCGATTTACATTTGTTTGTTTCTCATTAAAATTTATACATTGTGTAATAATTTTTGTGGCCTTCTCTGCGTTCGGTATGCCCTCTCATTCTCTCGTTCCTTTATTGCGTCACATTTGCTCACATTTGATGTTAATTCAATTGTTTGCTAAGTGAATTATGTCCTCTAACATCCTGTCATGCTGGCAGCGCTTTATTTATGAGCATCTCTCTTTTCACTTCCTAGCCGCTTAACTACATAAGGCCGGCCGTTCGCCGTGGTTGTGGTCGCTGTCTTTCGTTGGTCGTCTGTGGCTCTCCGCTTGTCCGCTGGCAGCTTTCGATAATTGAGTCCTTATTTATGTTTATGCTTGCTTACTTTTTGTCGTTGCTTTGCTTTTGTTTTTGTGTTGTTAAACATTTAAGGATTATCATTCTACTAAAGTGTCCAAAGTGTCCTTATATAGCGCTCACCTACATTTACGTTTACATATCGGTGTTAATTATCGGGTATTGTGGTCACGCTGTGTCTTTGGTCGCGTAAACGCGTAATAAATGTTAATGTGCATTGAAATTTAAATTACCCATCGTTTTCAATTAGTTATTGTGTGTACGCTAATTGGGATTTGGATTATTGGTTTGTGCAATTTATGTCGCTGCTGTGTCTGTGTGATAGAATTATTTGCTCGTAAAGTGGAATTGTAGTTCGTAAAAGCTTTATTAAGTGGAAGTGTGAAAGTAATTTGTGTGGATATTTAAGCGGCTTTGATGAAGCAATTATATTACACGAATAAAATTTTTGGCTGAAATGGCTCACATATTTTATTGTTGATCATCATGTTACTGTCTTTGCTCCTTAATGAGAATCTCTTACAAACGTGACTTTATATCTCATCCCCATCTGTTTTTTTTTAAGCTGGCTTTATTTCGAGTCCTAAGTGCGGGTTACACTTTCTGGATTTTGGGGTTTTTAACCAAAATATGTCCCGGCAATAATAGCAAGAAATTCGTGTATGAGTTGCCGAAACGAAACTAAAATATTAATAATACCTCATTGGATATTGGAATCTAATCTTTGTTTTGCTCAGAGCAATGTTAAAAGAAAGCGAAAAATAGAATCTACTCTATGAGTTAACCGAAAACACTACTCCCATATTCCTATGATCTCAGTTAGGAGCAGAGAACAAAAATTCCTATGTAACTTATGAAACCCACACGAAGTTTCTGGTATAAGTTATTTGACTGATTCAATACACAAAAACGCATAGTTTGTTTATAAAGCTATTTGGTTGATTTGGTGTTTATTACTAAACACTATTCGTTAACACTGAGTTTATCGCGAAACTCATTCCTCTAACTTCTCTAGCCATTCCTAAAAAAACTAGATTAATTGATTGATTCGATGTTGACAATAAACATCACTTACGAACACTGAGTTTTCGTGGTATCATTAAACAATACTCATTAACACCGAGTTTATTGTATAAAAATAATTTCTCTAACCTTTTTACTTTTTTTTAAAGAGACGAGCGTTAGCTGATTGCTTCGATATTAAACTCTAGTCATAAACATTGAGTTTACCGTACCAAAGTTTTGACACTAATTCGCTCTCAATTTCTTCCTAAAACTACTGGAATAACTTGACCAATTTGGCGTTTAATATTAAACACTACTTCTACAAACCGAGTTTATCACTCAAAAAATGTTTTTTCTAACTCGCTTTTTTCTATTATATATTTATGAGATTAGAACCTTAATTTACAACAAGTTTAGTCCCACGATTGAAACCTTAGTCTTTTTGATTTTTGGAAAAATTTAATTTAAATATTTTTCTTAATTGGTTTTATAGCATAAATTGAAAGAAAAGCAAAAAATTTTTGCTATCAAGATCAGTTTTTCAATATAAAATTACCCATTTTTTTCAGTTTTTATATCTCATAAATTTATCGTAAATTTAAACGATTTATGAGCACAGCAATCAATTAATTCTCTTTGAAAATCAACCCTGATAGTATCACACGCGTAATTTATGGAACACGATGTGGAAAAGTATCCTTGAAAGGACACTCTAAATTTAAATACAAATATTAAAAGAAAACTACAGAACCCCTCTTGACAGAAAATGTTAACGCATTCTTATTTACAATATTTACAATGTCATTAAAGTCGCTCGACAGACAATGACTTTGGAATGCAATTTCTACGAAAAAAGCTGGCCTGGCCTCGCGGCAGAATGTGCGCGCCAGTAGAGGGATGTTTAACAAGATTGAGAAATCGCATGCCTCTTATGAAGCGAAGCTAAATAGTCGATAGCCTCACATAATGAGAATTGCTATGGCTTGAAATTTAATTATGCGCTGGGATATTTTAGGTACATTTACATTTCTTCGATAGATTTATGCGAAAACACAAGCGGCGCAAGTAATGCTTTGTATATATATTCGGGGATATATATAAATTTCAGCATGAATAGGGTCAAGTAGCTACAACATAATTTACAATAATATTTGACATTTTAAAGATTGTTTTTATTTTTGTTTTTGTAAAATAAATTATTTAAATTCTTTTATTGGGGCTGTAGGCAGTACGTATGCAATAGCAAAAATAGTCTCAGTAATTGCTTGAGGCTTGTAGGGAATTAAAATTGTGTTAATATATAAAAAATTGGAAAGTTTATCATAACTTTTTTTATTGTAAATATTTTTAATGCAAAAATTTTATCTTGCGAAATATTTTTTGCGATTTTTATGCATTTTACGAAAGCATTTGTGTCGCCTTAAAAAATTTTAATATCACATTTCTCCCTAACTTCTCACTCTTTCTCTCTCTTTTTATTTGCAGGCGATAATCCACGCATTATTGAACACCCTATGGACATGACAGTGCCAAAAAATGATCCCTTCACATTTAATTGCAAAGCCGAAGGTGATCCAACACCATCTATACAATGGTTTAAGGATGGGCATGAATTGAAAACGGATACGGGTTCACATCGGCTTATGTTACCAGCTGGCGGTTTGTTCTTTTTGAAGGTAAGTAAGATTACAAAATTCTACATATACATGCATATATATCAATATAAAGCTAGAAGCATTACCATACATATGTATATAAAATTTATACCTGAAAGAAACATTAGTAGCCATAGCGTAAATAAAGTGAAGTGAACGAGGGTTATTACGGCTTTCTTTTGCCAGCAGGCAAGGCTGCTTATTTGTTGATTTATTTTCCAACATATATGCATATATAATTAGATAAAGTCACATTGTCAAACAGTATTTTTTTCGCATAAATGTCATGCATAAATATCTTTAAGAGCTGATCAATTCATAGCACACATGTAGGCGCACATCACCCCATGTAAAATATTCTTGCTTTGATATTAAGATTATTTATTCAATATTTCTGTTCGAGCATAAATATTTTCGACGAAATTTGCTATTATGTAAATTAATTTCGTTTGATTTAAGAGATTTTACACACGATTGAACATTTGGGAAGATTGACATAAGGCGCGTTTTTGTTAATAGATATATTTATATATTATTTGTATATTAGCATATGTAAAAATTAATAAATTTTATTAAGTTAAATGAAATTTTTGTAAATTAAAGCAAAATGTTTAGAAGTTTGTGAAAATTGACCTTTAACTCATTGTTTAAATATATAAAAAAATACAAGCTAATATTTGAGTACATTAAGTTGACGTAACAATATTTTATAATCGTACTGAAAGCTCCGGTTAAATTTTTAGTAATATGGCCTTGGATTTTGAACTTGCTCACGAATGTTTTTAATTCCTATTAAATTTTGTTAGAAAGCTCTGCCTTTTTGAATGCTACATGAAATCTTATTCTAAATTAGGAAAAAAAAAGAAAAAAGTTTAAGCTTTTTAGGCGCTTTTAACGCATTTTCGTTTCAGCAGAAAAGCCTAGAAAGGCTAAAAATGTATTTACTGACTTAGTGAAATGAAAAACTGCAGAAGAATGAAAGCTTTATTTATAATAATATCTTTAAATTTCTGTTAGAGCAGAAACGGGCTTATTACTATCATACTAGAATTTTCAAAGGTTAGCTAATTTTTTGAAAATGTTCTTTAAAGAAAATTCATTCGCCTTAGTAGAAGCTTTAACAGAGTGAAAACCCTTTTTTACGGAGTGAAAGCTTTCTTTTACGGAGTGAAAGCTTTTTTTACGGAGTGAAAGCTTTTTTTTACGGAGTGAAAGCTTTTTTTTTACGGAGTAAAAGCTCCCATTTCAGAGTGAAATATATCGCGATTCAGATTTCAAAAAGCGTTTACCAAATGTAGATTAATTTTTAGGTGAACGTTTTTATCATATCCTATATGAGCTTTATAGATAATATATGAGTGATATAGATGTTAAAATTTGACATCGCAAAAATTGTAATTGGCTTTGAGAACGCTACAATGAAAATGCTGGTTTACATATTTTATTTAATTGCTCACATTTTTCTTAATGAAATTTGAAAATTATAAGCTTAAAGTTTTTGTGAAAGCTCAAACATAATGAAGAAAGCGTAAATAAACAGTGAAAAACATGAAAGCTCGTAAGTAGTATAATACTCGTACTCTAAGCCGGCATATTGAAGTTGCTGAAAATCACTTTTAATAAAAAAAGCTTTTTATTTGGACAGTAAAATTTTTTATATAAATCTACATTTAGGAAAAGTCAGTACTAAAAGGTTAAATAGTCCTCACATCAAAAAATTTAATAACAATGCATAAAATATTTTCCATACGAGTGAGCGATTGCAATTCATTTGAAACAATTATTTCAAAAATATAAACATTTCGGCTTAAGAGTCGGAAAAATGCGCTAAAAGGCAGTACAAAGGCGCATCCTGTAACATTTAACAAATGGCGGACCTCTGTAGTGCCCTTGAGTTATACTAAACAAAAAAGTAATAAAATAAAAGTTAATCGCTCTGAACATTTATCAAACGGCTACGAGGAACTTCAATCAGCGCAGTCAATAGCGCTTGAAGAGACACATAGTACATATAAGTACACTTGTCGCTCGACCACCAAATAAGAGGTACGAGTTGACACCCATTAAGGGACGTAAATTTTTCAGGACTTCTAACATTTGGATACAAATTGTAGTGTGTTGCAAGTATATACATATGTGTGTTTGTATGCGGGTCGAACACATTAAAACTCATTCAACTTGCAAAATGTTGACTTTGTAACTTTCGCATTTGTATTTACAAGCTCTTTCATACTTTGTTGCCTTCCCACTACAAACGTGTGTATTTCTAATGTGTGGCGTACAGGAGGTGATGGGGGCAGCGCAACGTTGTCAATTAACTCGAGTGAAGAGCAACAACGAATTTTTGTTGGCTTTCTTCTGCCTTTGCTGCAACACAAAAGTATCTCTTTCTATGCTTTGAAGCCGGTTTTAACCCCACAAAGCGGTACAAAACAACAACAACAAAAAAAAAACACGAGCGAATAAGAGGAAAAACGGCAGTAAGCATCCAACAGTAGATGCTAGAGATAACGCACTTGCGTTACATTTTTAATTAAATTAAATGAAGTCGGACAATGTGTCTTGATGTGAGAGTCTGTGTTGGCGCGCTCGCTATTTGCCACTTTGTTGCCAGTCGGTTGACCAGCTAGGGGTTGTTTCCTCGACTAAATAACAAATGTTTATACAGAGTTGTTTTTGTATTTGTAGTTGGGTGTTTGACGCAGCGTTTTGACTATTGTCCTCGCAGCGGCTGTTGAGATTTTGAATGGCAGACAGAGATTTTGCAATATTTGAAATTTTCACTTTGATGTTTGCAAAGTTGCAACATTTTTGACGCGCACGTGTTGCCTTCAATTTTGGGAATACAACAAAGTGAGGAATGCGAAATCTAATAGATTAGAGAGTATGGACAAAACGTTGACGTGTTTGATGGTAAAAAGAGATCTTAATCCAAATTTAAAATATAGATAAGGATTTTACATGGAAATTAGGAGTCTTTCAAGCAAATTCCTAAGTGAAATTAAGAACTTAAGCTAATTAGTTAGTGGTATGATTTGAAAGCGCTTTGATGAAAGCTCTCAAATTTGAAGCTTTGTGGGAACTTAAAGCATCAATTGTACTATAACTATTGTAAACAAACTTACTGATTCTAATATTGCTACGAAACTTCGAAAATAGTTCTATTATTTATTTTGAGGCAAAAAAGAAACGGTTATCTTCATTAAACTATATAAATAATATAATAAATATAACGACAAACATGAAAACTTTAAAAGGACACATCGTAAATGAAAAAATTAGTGATAAAGTCGTACTAAGAATTAGAAAACAGGATAATTCGTTAAGGATTCATTTTAAGAAAACTAATACATATATACGAAACTTTTACATTTTTGACGTCTTTTTTAAAGCTTTCAGCTATTGAAAAAGAAAGCTATACTACTCACTAATAAAATTTAAGACTAAATCCCAGGTGAAAAATTTCTTATTTGACCATTTTTCGTTTTGGAGCTTTTAATTGAGCTTTCCTTAATAAACGTATCATCCCTTTATAAAAAAAGTAAATTAAATCAGTTGTGATTTATTCAGCGCAGTTTGAAAGTCCAAAGCTTTCACAAAATAAGTTTTTTTGTATGAACAAAGAACACTTAATTAAGATATAACTTAAAAATTTGATTTGTGAAAGCTTGTACTACTAAAGCTTTCAACTAACTAAATTTTAGCTTATATAATAAACAAATTATCGCTTTATACTTGTATATACAATATTTTATAAAAATAAAGGAAATAAACTAAACTAATTCAGTTTAATTTCCGCCCTGCTTAGTACAATGCAAATCATCTTGTGAAAGCTCTAAAAGTCAGAGCTTTCATCAAGTAAGTTTTTTGTGTGAGCTAAGAACTCATAATGCAGCTAACACTTCAAAATTGATTTTTGGCTTGATTACTGTACTGTGAAAGCATTTGATGGTAAAGCTTTCACCTAACTAAAAGCAAGAATGTTTTTTTCTTCTAATTAATAAAATCTTATCTTATTATTAAAAGCAGCAATTGTATAATTTATAGGTATGAAATCGACAACTATTTAAAATGTTTTTGTATTATAGATCTAAAAAGACATAAACTTTCAATTACCGTTATTAAAGTTTCCATATATTTTCTGATGCATTACATGTCTACATTTGCTATTTGTCTACTCTACTTGCAGGTGATACATTCACGTCGTGAAAGTGATGCGGGCACGTATTGGTGTGTGGCAAAAAATGAATTTGGTGTGGCACGTTCGCGCAATGCCACGCTACAAGTTGCATGTAAGTGAAATTAGCGTTATTAGGGTTTATGAAATTTAAAAAAAGGAAAAAAATTTATTGAATGTTGCACATACACCTAAAACAGCTATAAGTGTAGCATCCCTGTCTGATAGCACCTTGCGGTAATTTATTAACTGCATAAAATACAAGTAGTAAAATGCATCATCGGCAGCCATTTTGCATAAGTGCATATTGACAGGCAGCTGCCAACAGTAAAAAATATAATAAAAGAAGATGATTGTTGATCGATTGCGGTAAATACTTATAATTAATTTGCATAAAACAATTGCTTAGCTAATCAATTAAATTAAGTATTTGAATTAGTTAAGAGTACTGTAATCATTATTTTACACTTAATTTAGCAAGAAAGCATATCCTTGCTGGTAAGCCTTTAAGTTCTTTCCAACTCAAATATTTATAATCAAATCATAATGCACAAGCACATCTCTCCAACACTCGCTTTAAGCTCCAGCTGCCAGGCAACTCCATTTACAATTCAATATCCTTTCTAGCAGTTTCATAGAAATATAAATTGATTGATATTTTCAATATTTGCAATATCCTTTCTATCGTTATATATATCTTCCAACTATCTTTGCCAGTTATTGCCAACTAATAATAATGAGTTCCATTCAATGGATAGTTTACTTGGCAATGTAAATGTTAAAATGGCAAATAACGGCAATAAAGCCGGCATTCGCAAAGGATATTCGCAGTTGCAGAGCGTTTTGCATTAATATTTTTGTTTTTCTGCTGCTATGCAATAATATATAAATAAATCACAGGTAGACTACTAACAGTGAAGCCGGCGAAAGGTTTATGAATGCACAAAGCTTTGCAAAGCTAAGCATATTATTTGCATGGCGTGCCTCATTAGAAAGGATAAAAGCGGTAGAGTAGTAACGGCTGTAGGCAGAAGCAAGAATACGCAGCAGAATAGTTGGATATTTGACTGTGATTATGATTCTAATGAAAGATGATATTGGTAGAAGTTAATTTGATGCAGATAGGCGGAGGAAATTGAATAATTTTCTAAATAAAGGAAGTACATAAAAAGAAATTAGTAGAAAACTAATTCAAATATTTTTAAGAGCGGGGAAGTTCGAATAAAACAAGTAGAAGCTATGAGACACTCCACATGTGCCTTTCTTCTAGCTTAAAAGCATATAAAAAGATATTTATCTCAATTTTGATCGGTCAGTTTGTATGGCAGCTATATGCTATAGTGATTCGATCTGAACGATTTTTTGAAGATTAAAGCGCTATTTTTAGCAAATAATCTGTGCCGAATTTTGTGAAGATATCTAGTCAAATAAAAAAGTTTTCCATACAAGGACTTCATTTTGGTCGTTCAGCTTGTATGGCAACTATAAGCTATAGTGGTCCGATATAAGCGGATTCGACAAACAAGCTGCTTCTTAGGATAAAAAGCGCGTCTGCAAAATTTTAGTTCGATAGTTCTATGAGTGAAGGACTAGTGCTCGTATATAAAGATAGAGCGATGGACAGGCACGCGGGAATAGCTGAACCGACGCAGCCCCTAAGTTCAGTTCTAAAATATTAAAAATTTTATTTTTAGGTATTTACTTATCACAATATTTATATTAATTCTTCGCCCTTCAATATAGAAATTTCCCAAAACTTTATGTCAACTTTCTCCTCCCCAGTTCTACGCGATGAATTTCGTCTCGAACCGCAAAATACACGCGTCGCACAAGGCGAAGTGGCGCTGATGGAGTGTGGTGCGCCGCGCGGCTCACCAGAACCGCAAATTTCATGGCGTAAAAATGGACAAACAATGAATTTAAGCAGCAATAAGCGCATACGCATAGTCGACGGCGGTAATTTGGCCATACAGGATGCGCGTCAGTCGGACGATGGTCGTTATCAGTGCGTGGTGAAAAATGTGGTGGGGACACGTGAATCGGCGACAGCGTTTCTAAAAGTGCACGGTAAGTCTAAAGTGTATTTAAAATAAATAATTGCAAAAAAGAAAAACGAAATGATTTATTTTTTCAAACTGTTTTTTTTTTTTTTTTATAATTTAACGCTTTGCATGCATTAACTCATTTTGTCGCTTTCTTCTCGTTTTTACATGCAGTGCGTCCATTCCTCATACGCGGACCGCAAAATCAAACCGCCGTGGTTGGCAGCTCGGTTATCTTTCAGTGTCGCATTGGTGGTGATCCATTACCGGATGTCCTGTGGCGACGCACCGCTTCGGGCGGAAATATGCCATTACGTAAGTGCTTATCTGCATAGACCTTTGTCTTTGTGGTGTCGTTATATACAGTTATGTGTGCGTTTGTACATACATAGCGCTTAACACCTTATTTAAATACGCTTTGACACATACACTCATACATATTACAGTACAGTAGTACTATGCCACACTTTGGCTGCAAGCTTTGCGGTCAGCCACTACATTGCAACTAATTTAATGCGTGAGCTCGTTACTATTGCAACGGTTGAAAGAGGGAATATTAAATATTATTGTTCTTGAGACTGCAGTTATTGTTGCGTAACCTTAACGTGGAGCGGTTTAGGATAGAAATTTGCTTTTACCAAGTAGATAGCAGTTTTCAAAAGCAAAATTTATAGAGCCAATCGAACAAGCCACTGGTATAAATCAAACAACTGGTATAAATAAGTTATGAAATCGAACAAACAACTGTTATAAAGCTATGCAATTGGCATAATTAAATAGAGATTTGAGAGCAAGCCTTTATAATAGTTTAATGATGTATCAACATACTCTCTTGTCACGAATTGTTAAGAAAGAGCATTGCTCACACAAAAGCTCGCTGGGAAAAGGACAACCAAATACTTGTTATTTAGTTTTATTTATAGATTAATAAATGCTTCTATTATTCATATGAATAGGATAGCTGTAACAACTATAGACTAAACACCTACTTTTAGTCCAATGAAAGTTTAATGAAAGCCGCTGCTAATTAAAAATAGTACTCAATGTTGGGTAATGATTAACCCCACCGAAAATAAGACCAACATAAAGACTAAAATGACTTTCGAATGCAATATTCAACGAAATTTCTTTTTTTTTAATACATAGATATCTTAAAATCACGGTGTCTTTCGACCTTATAAACTTTCGCAACGCTGTTGCCAACGCGCATAAGTCGCTAGAGTTCACAATCAAAAACCAAGAAGTTCCCTCCATTGATCACAGTTGAGCTGTAAGCATACTTTAACTCGTCTATAGAAGGAGTGTTTTCTTATTATACGAAAAAATTGGTAATTCTTTGTATATCTTTGTTCAAAATGCTGTTATGAAAGAAGTTTTGAAGCGCTTGGCTCATCTCATTTAAGAAAAGTTTTCTTTTTGTTCAGAATGACTTTGACCAAAGAGTCAATAGACTGCTGCTCAGTCAAAAATGACCACAAGTATACTAAATATATAAAGCACATAAGTATGCATACGCTCGTGAATGTATATAGGTACATATGTACTACCCGCTTATTACATGTACATGCGTGTTTGACTTCTTGAGTGCCATCTTAGAGCAGCAGCAGCAGACAGTGGCTGTCCAACACCCACAAACTCAAAGGTAAACTCCGTACAAGTGCACTTGGTCAACGTCTTCTCAACTGTGCGTGTGTGTGCATATGTAGTGGTGCAGACAACTGATGAGCCGAGTGCTGATGAAAAAGTACTACATTTATTTGCGGTGGCAGCAAAGTCATTTTGTTGTGTACCGTTGTGTCGTGTCTGCTGTCCACCAAAGAAGTAAAAGTCTAGCACTTTATTGGTGTTGTTGTTGCTTGTGTAGCTTCAACTGCCGCCGCCACATGTACCGCAAAACAAACTGCAACTTTTAATTCCGTTAATTGCCAATCTCTGTTGCCAGCAATCAACATTTGTGCTGTTGGGTTTTGCTTGCACAACACTTGAATGGTGGAAAATCAGCACGCACACACACAAGCGCACACGTGGAAAGATGTGTGTGTGTCGGTATTGAAGCGCAGGTGAGATTTAGGTAAGAGTTAGTGAGATGGGGTTAAAATCGAAAAAGTGGGGAGCCTCGTTGGCATGTGGCAAGCCAAAGTCTGCGCGCAAACAGAACAATGTTGTACAACAAAAACAGCGCCACACATACCCGTACATGCTTAGCCACTAACCTATGCAAAGAAATAAGAAAGCGACGGCTGAGTGCCTTTTGCAAATGTGTGCTTGTGTGTGTGCCACAAAACGCTAACGAGCAAAGGCGAAATGATAAGCAGCAGGGTGTATAGTTTACGAGCGATTTGTATGCATACACACGCACATATATACATGTGAATCCACCTATATACACACATACAGCCAAACAGTCGCAAATACCTGTTTGTTTGCCGGCTTGTTTGTGTTGAGGTAAGAAAAAGTTTTGCCAACCGGACGCGACACTGTGGTTGCTTGTGTTGTGTTGGTGTTGGTGCTGGCGCAGCAGCGGCGCGGAAGTAGCAAAGGCAAATGTAAACGCTTCCGTAAACTTTTGTTAAGCAAACAATTGCCATAGACAACAAAAACATTGAGAATCCTGGCAGTCGGCACAGACCCACACCCAGCCACACGCACCCACACCCACACACACGCACACCACCCACACTCTGTTGCCATTTAAAGCTGCATATAACGCCACTGCATGCAGCTGGCAGACAATGCAACACAAATATATATGCATGCTTAATATTAACTTGGCCCTACCGCACTGTGGCACCATCAGCAGTTGCATGCTGTCTACCACAAAGTGTGTGCACCCTCTGCTTATTGTTGTTAGTATTTATTGCTCTTGCTTGCTATCTTCCTGCATGTCGCAGCTAGTTGCTAAGAAATCCAACACTCGACTGGCTGCAGCGCTTTACCGACGCTCTCGCACAACACTTCAACTACTAACTAACCTAGATACATACAAACAAGTGTAAAGCAGTTGCAACGTGCCGCAAAATAAAACAGCGATTTTACAGCTGCCAACTAACCGGAAATACAAAGTGTTGATACAGCCGTGGTAGCTGTGGACTTTAAATGTACCTGTGCTTCGTAAAACAAGAGAGTTTAGGTGGACAGGTGTGACCTGAAGTGGCAGGTCTTAGCTGAAGTGGTGACGTGACTTAGTTGTGGGAGCAAAACGATAGGTAGGAGAGTGAAATAGAGAGGAAAGTATGTGGAGCATATATGTATGTGAAGACCCTTAAGAGGTTAAGTCAGTGTGTATGCCGATCAAATTGGCTTACTTTGACTATTTATACTGAGAGTTTGGAAAGAGAGATACATTTTCTCTTCGCTCTAACTTTACTAAATGCGTATTTGAGTGTATAAAAAAAAATATTTTTTTATACCAAAAGGCGGCAACTAAAGCGATTTTCAATATCGCTTCATTATTTTTTATTATTTTTTTCTTTAATCTAACGATTGCAAAATATTTTTAGGATCCAAAAGTTTACAAAAATATTTTTGATTTTTTTAATTTCTAGATTAGCCTAGCCTCGTAAGAATTCCAAGAAATCTGCTCTTCTTACTTAGTTACTTCAAAAGTTTTAGAGCCCTTTGGTTATATATTTTTAAAAATTATTTATGATTTTCTATCAAATTCCCAAATAAGTATCGAGCGCTGAGTTCAAAAATTTCTTATTTTTTCTGTTATAAAGTTTTTGAGCTAAAATAGCCATCTCAAAATATTTTATATTTAAAAAATCATGTTTCTCGCCGCATAATGAGTTCACACAATATTTCATTTAAACAAAATTAGCTACTCTGCGAAACAAATATACAATGTAAAAATGTAAGAAATTTCCTATAGTCCCTCATCAAAAGATCAGGGAAATTCTTTGCGTGAAAATATACAGAATACTATTTACCATATCTGTATAAAAAAGTACATCCAACTTCCTTTGCGCTAAGACACACCAAAAGCATTGAGACATACGGCATTAAGTGCAGCCGTGCGTATACGTAACCTCTATTGTATATGAATGAAATGTGCCTACTCAACGCACAGCAAAGCCACTAAAGACCAACTCTAAAGTACAAGCGTACCGTGCAGAACCAGCTTTGGCTTATAAAAAAAACAAAAACAACTATAATGATACCAACAATAAGAGCAGCTGCAGCGGCAATAACGCTAACAACAATTATCAATGCTGCTTGCGCATACAATTCGGCTGACAGTGGTGCGCTACCTTATGTATTTTTTCTTTGTCGAATTGCTGCTGATTTTCCACTCAGCACGCCAGCAGCTACCCAATGCTATTTTCGGCAATTTTTCACCTTTATGCGAAGGCTTTTATTGTTATACACGCACACAATGCTATTTTAATGCTCCCAACTACTTTATGTACACAGCTATAGCAGCACATAAAGTGAAACAAACAACACATATACCTATATTCATACCGTTATACTTAACTACGCACATTAACTGTGAACTATTCAAGCTTCACCGGTTTGTTTGGTCAACACTTGAACTTTAATTCGCTCTTTATGCCAACACACATTTCATTCATTCCTTTATATTTGCTGAATTTTTTTTCCATCGCTTTTCACCACAGGTCGTGTGCACATCCTAGAGGATCGTAGCCTGAAATTGGATGACGTTACGCTGGAAGATATGGGCGAGTATAGTTGTGAAGCGGATAATGCGGTCGGCTCAATTACAGCCACGGGCACACTAACCGTACACGGTGAGTTAATTGCTATAAATGTTGTTGCTATTGTTTTTATTGTATGTATATAGATGTGTGTGAATGAAAAGTACTCACATCACCGCACATGACAGCGCACAGGGATGTGCTAAAAGCTTTATTGCACACATACATATAAGTGCATATATGTATAATTATGTATTTGTTGTTGTTGCTGTTGTTAGTATAAAAGTTTTACGGCTCATTTGAAGTGTTTTTGTGCAGCGACATGCATGCTGTGAATCAGAATCAAGTGTTTCTTTGATGAAAGTTTGCATAAAGGGTGCCGAAAGTTCGACCACAGCTTTCGCTTGTCAAAGTTTAAGCTGCGCGGCATTAGTTAGTATGGTGAAAGTTCGTAAGATCTCTTGAGGTGGTATTGACTAATGAGAGTTTTGATTAGTTGGTTGGTATCAAAAAAAAAAAAGCTTAATAGACGATATTGGTAAAAAGAAGCAGATCTTCGCTCTATACTTGTTGTGCCGTACAGAACAAGTAAGAAATTTATTTCAAATAGAGATACAGTATTATATATGTATGAATGTTATGTTTCAGAATACCAAGGCTAAACATTTAAAGCAGTGCTAGGCGAGAAAGGTAGAGTCAGAAATTATTACCAGGCCTCAGTTTTAGAGCTTTTGTATCAATAATATATAAAAAAGCTGAGAGAATGGCTAGATTCAAAAATGTTAAGTATAATCTCATAATAAATACCGGATCTCAGTTTTTAAGTTTTCATACCAATATTTGTAAAGCTTCACATAAAGCTCGAAAAATCGTTAGATTAAAAAACCGTTGAAGAAAGTCTCAATTTAGTTCCAAATCTCGTAAAACGGGCAAGGGGCTTTTAGGAGAAACAAAGTCAATCGTTAAAGAAGCTCAACTAATATTTGCAAATTTTTTAAATCTATAGGAGCTATAAATATATATATATATATCACGAATAGTCAGTGAAAAAAGTACTTTTACTCAAACGTCAAATAATCTGTTAAACACCCTGTGGCGTAACAAGGCACACACACTAGCAGCAACAACATAAAAATTAATTACCTGACCGCACTTCAAATACAAGTACAAAAAGAAAACAAAGCGGAGAAACGAAAATCATGAAAGGAATGCAACAAATGCAACAACAATATGCGCTTAATATGTACATTGCTTTGCAATAACATTTACCGTTATTAACAACTTATTTACTCTTGCATCCCCCCAACTTATGTATTTTTGTATTTTTATTACGTTTGCTCTTCCTCTCCGCTACACAACGCCAACAGCACCACCCAAGTTCAACACACGCCCCAAAAATCAACTGGTCGAAGTCGGTGATGAAGTGCTCTTCGAATGTCAAGCCAGTGGCTATCCCAAGCCCACACTCTACTGGTCGGTCGAGGGCAACAGCTCGTTGCTCTTTCCCGGCTACAAAGATGGACGCATTGAGGTGACGCTAACGCCCGAGGGTCGTTCGGTGCTCTCGATATTGCGTTTCGCACGCGAAGACTCCGGCAAAGTGGTGGTTTGTAATGCTTTGAATGCGGTCGGCAGCGTAAGCAGTCGCACCGTTGTCACTGTGGATACACAATTCGAATTGCCACCGCCAATTATTGAGTTGGGTCCCGTCAATCAAACGTTACCGGTGAAATCGATCGTAACGCTGCCGTGTCGCACCAGCGGCACGCCAACACCACAAGTCTCTTGGTATTTGGATGGCATGCCAATCGATGTGAACGAGCATGAGCGTCGCAATTTGTCCGAGGCGGGCACACTAACCATAGCCGATTTGCTGCGTAATGAAGACGAAGGCCTGTACACGTGTGTGGCGAGCAATCGTAATGGCAAGTCATCGTGGAGCGGTTATCTACGTTTGGATACGCCAACCAATCCGAATATTAAATTCTATCGTGCACCGGAGCTCTCCACACATCCGGGACCGCCGGGTAAACCGCAAGTTGTCGAGAAGACCGAAGACTCGGTGACACTATCGTGGACGCGCAGTAATAAGGTGGGCGCCTCCAGCTTGGTCGGCTATGTGGTCGAGATGTTTGGCAAGAATGAGACGGACGGTTGGGTGGCTGTGGGCGCACGCATACAGAATACAACCTTCATGCAGGTGGGCATGGTGGCGGGCGTAAACTACTTTTTTGTCATAAGAGCGGAAAATTCGCATGGCCTATCGCTGCCGAGTCCGATGTCGGAGCCGATTAATGTGGGCATGGTAAGTGGGCGCTACATTTAATGTATATTTAAGGGGTTATGTAATATCCTACTTTCGTTGCTTCTCTTTTGCAGCGTTTCTTCAATAGCGGCTTGGATTTGAGTGAAGCACGCGCCAGCCTGTTGTCCGGCGACGTAGTGGAACTAATTAACGCCAGCATCGTGGACTCGACAAGCATGAAATTGACGTGGCAGGTTAGTTGTGTGCAATTTTTTTACTTGTTTTGCTTTATGCTCTCCTCCATTCTTCGTACGCCTTAATGGTACGGTGTCAATATCAATGCAATAGCGAAGCGTGACAAAGCAGTCAAGCAGCTAAGTCAGCGCGATTGTGCCATGAACCTCACACCTGCTTGCGCGCGGCAAGCGGTGTGGCGCAGCAATTCAAATTGCCCAATTTTCCCCAAATCCACTTCACATTTTTTACAATTTTCCTAATTCTTTTTCGCTTTTTCTTCTTCACTCTTCACAGATAATCAACGGCAAATACGTGGAAGGCTTTTACATCTACGCGCGTCAATTACCAAATTCGCCAACAAGCGTCACCGGTACGGAGCGCAACAGCGCGAATGCCAATCCATTGCTGGCGGCACGTAGCAGCAGTTCGTCCTTATCCTCAGCCTCTGCCTCAGCTGATGCTGCGACGGCCGCATTGATTTCGGCTAAACCAAATATTGCCGCTGCCAGACGTGATGCGGCCGTTAAAAATGCCGCTACCGCAACCAGCAGCACCACATATCGCATGCTAACGATATTGAACGGCGGTGGCGCCTCCTCCTGCACGCTGACTGGCCTGCTGCAATATACGCTGTATGAATTTTTCATTGTACCCTTCTACAAGTCGGTCGAGGGAAAGCCGTCGAATTCGCGTATTGCACGTACACTTGAAGATGGTGAGTACACAAAAACACATAAACCGTTACTTACGTATAAATAAGCAAACAATTAAAGTAGATGAAGTAAAGCAAAATAGAAGCATCAAAGTATTGACAGCGAGTCATTCGTCGGTGGGGTATACATATGTAAGTGTTCCTGGCATAGTGAAGGGGTTGATTTAAGAGTCTTAAATTTATATATTACGTCGATTGAGCGCTGCATTTCAAGTATGTTGCGAAAACTTTCGTCTACCTGCCAGACATATATACTCGTATATATCTATGTTTACATCTTTAAGAGCAAATTGCATTACTGGAAAATATTTCTGAACCGCTTTCAAAAAAAATTTAATACAAACACTCGTTTCTTGCCAATTTTACAGTTTCTGATTAATTTCGTATTTATACCAGTTTTTGGCGAATCGAACGGACAACTGGCATAAATCATATAAAATGGTATAAACAATTAAAACTGCTATAATCTAATAAATATTTAATATTAAGCGGTTAATATGCTTCAATGAGTTGCTCACATACTTGCTTGCGTTGAATTCAACTTTACAACTTCTTTCTTGCTATTTTATGTAATTTTTTTTGTGAAGGGGCGAGCAGTGAACACGAGAATGAAAGACAACTAATCAAAACCATAAGCTGTTTTTCTGTGCCAATTTGGCTCTCAGCCAGGTTTTTGTACCCTAATGTGGAAATATCGAAGACACTAGTGAACTAGTTTTCTTTAATTTATGTAAATAGGGGCAATAACGTTAAACGCATGTGCTGCAAAGTACTTTATATACATTTAAGTAAGCATACAAGCATAGATATAAACATATTCTTGTGTATATGTCGCACAAATTTCGCACACTGAAGCACAAAATTAGTATAGAGGGAAAGGCAAACACATTAATCTACTCTAAAATTGTCGTGAAATACCTATACATATATATGATATATATGTATATATATATATATCATATATGTATATATCTATATCACATGATCATATCATATATGTATATATGTATATATGCCTTAAAAATATATTTCCTTTTATCCCCTATCCATACTACCCATTAGGTTTGCAACCCTCATTCCTTCTACAAAAAATTTACTCATACAGAAAATAGTGGCTGAGCGGCCCAGTCACCAAACTGATTACCAACAACAATACGCTTTTGCAAACACCCCCTTCACATACACACTCTACAGCGATTGCACGCTACAGCGCCAATCCTTTGTTCCCTTTCGTAACAATAACCTAATTTCATAATGTAACATCGCAGCAAATAATAAATGATTGAAAAATTCTTGGCAAAAAGTAAAAAGAGGCGTACTCGACAAATTTCATTGTGTGAATGCGAAATTTTCGATTTCAATCGATGTGTTGCAACATCAGCTGTGCCCTAAATGCTAAGTAGCGTCCTAAGATGTGGGCCGGTGTGGCACATATGTGCCAGGTTTAATTTATTTTGAGTTTGTCGTATTCTTTTTCCTCCACCAACTGTGCGCTCTGCCGCTGCGGGTAATCAGAGGGTCGGTAATTTCAAGGGTCGTTTGAGAAAGTGTTCGCAAACACAAAACTTATTTTTTAGTATTGCATTGAGTAATATTGAATAGAAATACAACGGTTATTGTTTGTGTGGAAATATTTGCGAATTTATTTGTTGCATGATATTTTTGTACTAGCGCGACATTGAATTAAGTAAATGTGAGCTCTGTGCGAAGTCATGCGTTAAGCGTGTAAATACACAAATTAGTTAAGTTGTTGGTGTGCAAACATTTGAGTAAGTAAATACGTAATTAGGTGCGGAAAATGCGAGCCAACATTGAAGTAATGTTATATTATATTAAATACTATATATATATAGTTATATGTACATGCTGGGTATATGTATGTCTCTGAGTGCACTAACTTTTGTTTGTCTGTCTGTATAGCGTTCAGTTTTTGAGTTATCACTCTATAATTTTGCACACGATGTTTTCTCGCCAAGAAGCTGTTCATTTGTTGGTAACGACGATGTCCGACCACTATAGCATATAGCTGCCACACAAACTGACCGATCAAAATTAAGGTTTTATATAGAAGACTTTTTTGTTTGACCAGATGTGTTCATAAAACTCGTCAGAATTTATTGTACAACCCAATGCTACAATCCTCCAACAAATTGTTCAGATCGGATCATTATAGCACATAGCTGCCATACAAACTGACCGTTCAAAATCAAGGCTTGTATTTAATTTTTTTTTATTTCACGATATATCCTCTTGAAGTTCAGCACAAAGTATTGCCTAAAGCAACGCTATAAACTCCGTGAAAATATTTGAGATCGCACCACTATAGCATATAGCTGCCATACAAACTGACTGAACAAAATCCAGTTTTTATATAGAAAGCTTCTTTGTTTGACCAGATGTCTTCACGAAATTTGACATATATTATTATCAAAACATATTCTACAATCTTCAAACAAATTATTGAGATCGGATCACTATAGCATAAAGCTGTCATACAAATTGACCAATCCAAATGAAGTCTCATATGGAAACTTTTTTTATTTCACGATATATTTTCTTGAAATTCAGCACAAAATATTGTGTGAAGCAATGCTATAAGCTCCGAGAAAAATTTTCAGATCGGATCACTATAGCATATAGTTGCCATACAAACTGACTAAACAAAATCAGCGTACATATATGCTTATACCTTTTAAACTATAAGAAATGAGCCTGTGAATTGTGTTATAGCTTTGCTGTAGCCGAAGTTAACATGTTTTCTTGTTTCTAAATCTGTCGCTTTATCTAAATTTTCATCTTTATCTGAGCGCAGATAATTGAATCCCAGTACGTTGTACGTTCATTTTATATACTATATATATTCTTTTTTATGAATATTTGTTCGCATATATGGAACCATTGTACCTGGTATGCAAATACCAAATCCGCACCGATTTTCTGCCACAATACTCCTACACCTATTTACAGTGTCGCGCGGTACAAAGTTGTTGCGCAGCAAAAATTTTAAATCAAACTCATTTCGTATTCATCACATTTCCACTTTGGAATTGCTTTCTTGCGCTACAAAAACACATACTTCAAACCAGCATACACACGCACGCACATCCTTACACCGACATACACTTTTAGAGCAACCCACACAACTAGACTTCTATTAGAGCTAAGAAAAAAGCGAAGTTGTGGAGAAATTGCAATTGCAATTGCGAAAAAGATAAACAACAATTATTTTATATGCAGACACAAATACATAAACAAGCACAGCAAAAACACACAGTCACATGCAAATGCATTTGCCAAACGAAACCGGTTTATCATAGCATACATGCAGGCGCTTGTGGAGCATGCTGAAATTCGCAGTAAGCAGCGACATGTAAATAAGAGCCAACAAAGGAAGAAGGTGTGTGCTGGGACATGGGTTTCGTGCACTTCGGCTGCATGTGTGTGCGGCGTTGTGATGCCTGCAGGGCATTATGCGACTGTGGTGAAGTGGAGACGCGTTTCGAGTTGAGTAAACAACCGCAAAAGTTCCAGCGTTTCGCTTTAAAGGCGTTTTTATTTGTTTGCAACAGCGTATTTGCTGAGGTATTGCCACAAGTGCAGCGCGTGTATGCAGATCATATACAAGCAGCATGTGAGCATGTGTATGAATGATTGTGTATGTGTGTGTGTGGATGTGGATGTGGGTTGGCGACACAACTCAAATGTCAACTGCTGTTTCGTGCTGCAATTTGTATGCAATTTGAAAAATGATGCAAAAGAAAAGCACAAGGCAGCAAAGTAAACGCTACTTTACATATGCGCGCACATAACATGGTGGTTGCGTATACACATACATACATATGCATGTACTCGTATTTGCCAAATAAACACACACACACACACACACAACTGGCAGGCAAATACACTAATTTGTCGCCTTGTGCGCACTCGGCACTTCACCGCCTCATTTGATGCTCCCCTGAGATCGTGAGCGCTGTGCAGGCACCCACTCACCACTAACCGACCAGCGTTGCCACCTTCATTTAGTTAAATGTTTGATTGTGTTGGTTGTGTCTACCTTTAACTATTACAGTAGAGGGAGAGGAGTAGGGTGGAGGTTGCATGTGTTTATCTAAATAGAAATTGCTTTGCTTTGCGTTACTTAGCTACCGTTGCAGCATAACTTTTCTTTTCTATACTTCGCACTTAATGCATACATGCATAATAATGAGCGCACTGTGTGTCATAAAATGTGGTGTGAGTTGCAAATAGAAAGCAAAATAACAACAACAAAACAGATATCTACAACAAAAATATGTTGGCATGAAGACTGGAAACAAAGAGTTGAGCGTAGACAAAAATAGCTTAGCGAAATGAGTTAGAAATCAGCCAGCGTTGCCCACAAAATTCCAACACTCAATCAGCTGGGATTTATGCACTCAGACACTTACTTACTCACACTTGTTAACGCACGCTGAGGAATTGTTTTGTGCATTTTTTATTATAAATGCGCTTTCTATGTGTACACATCATATATATAAATACTTGTGTATACCTATAGATATAAATATTTATATGCTTGATAACCCTCACTTTCATTTACAGCAACATCTTTTTAAGCTTTAAATAACATTTGTTTGCATAGAATTTAAAATAATTACATATTTTACAAATAGTCAATACAAAAATAAATCTTTTGTCTAGTTTAGGGTTAAAATAAATGGTAACATTTTAGAGTTGCTCTAAAGGAAATCAATTTTGCTCATATCTCTAAAAGTTGCTTACAAGACGATTAAGTTAGGTTAGGTTAAATAGTTGATCCCTCTGCCAGGCGGGGAATCACACTTAGACTATTTGTATAGCCCTTTGCGAAGCCATAGGAAAAACTCCTGTAGTTAGATATCAGCTATTTATCGGCAAAAAAGCGCTGAACCTATCACAAATCTTGTTACCTTGGGCTAGTAGAATCTTGTGACTGCACAGCTGCTGGTAGTTGACCAACGCTTGCTGAGCTGGTCTGAGGCTCAACAGTCCAGTATTAAGACGCGAGTAGCCAATGCAGCTTTTACACGTTGGCCTTCTGCAATTATTGAGAAGAGAAACAAGTTTGTCACAAATATCGAAAAACTAAACAGAAAATTATTAAAAAAAATATGTTTTCTTTTGACATAAGTTATTGGTAATGCACTTTTTGTTTAGAAGCTTCAATCTATATTCATATTCAATTTTTTTTGAAAGTTGCCATTTTGTCAATAGCAAACATTTTGAGTAGCACCTTCGATCATCACCTGCATTTTTCTGTGGTAATAATACTTTTTGTTTTGTATAATTGTAAGTAAAAAAATCCTCTTCACCGCCAGACACCTTTTTTTGGAAATCCTTTTGGAGATCGGTTACCGTATTAAGAGAATTCAAAATTTTTCAAAATTAATTACCGATTATTTTAATAATTATTTTTATAATAAAGTATATTAAATTTTGTAAATGCAAATTATTTTATTAATTTATTAATTAAAATAATATTTTGACTAGCAAGTGGATATAACCTCTTAAAGAAAATATTGAAAAATCGATAAAAATTATTCAAATATATCTATTTTTTTCTACAAAAAAAATGTGTTAAAAATAATTTAGTATGTATTGTATAGCTGTATATGGCTTAATTAGTTATTTAAATTGAAATTGCCATTTTTTATAATTGTTTACCTATTGTCTGTCTATATTTATCTATATCTATATTTTATTTTATTTTTATATTCACAGTCATCAACGAAACACCTTTTGGCATGGAAGCTGTGCTATTGAACTCCTCAGCGGTATTTTTGAAATGGCGAGCACCAGCAATTAAGCCACAAAATGGTGAGTAAGAAAAAAAAGTTTGAAATGTGTTGAAAAGCATAAAAAATTTAATGAATATTATAGCAAAAATTTCAACTTGAAATTGATTTTAAAAAAATGTTCAAAGCACCTGTATATTAATCTCAATTTTGTTCTAATTCAGTGTTTATATATTTATTTGTAAATTAAGTATTTCTCTACTATTCATACACGTTAATATTTTCTTTAAACTTCTCATTTCTTCCTTTGCAGGCATCTTGTTATTCTATCACGTGATTGTGCGTGGCATTGACACGGCGCACAATTTTTCACGCATACTAACAAATGTGACCATTGACTCCGCCTCACCCACATTGGTTTTGGCCAATCTAACGGAGGGTGTAATGTATACAGTTAGTGTGGCAGCTGGCAATAATGCTGGCATTGGGCCCTATTGTGCACCAGCAACACTGCGCTTGGATCCAATAACTAAAAGACTGGATCCATTCATTAATCAACGGTGAGTACAAAAAAAAAATTGGCACTGAAGTGGAATGAAGAATATAAGAAATTAACAAAACAATAAAATATTTTAAAATATGAGTGCGAAATTTAGTTGAGAGCAGCTCTTCCTGATTCTACCAAAATATTATTTTCTAAAAAAAATTTCAAAACATTTCGTAGCAAAAATTAAAATTTTTTTCTAAATATTTTATAATAATAAAATATATATTATTAATAAATATTTCCTGCTTCTTCAACAGCTACCCTATCAATCAGGACAATGTCGATGATGTGCTCACACAACCCTGGTTCATTATTCTGCTCGGCGCCTTTCTGGCCATGATGATGCTTTCACTTGGCGCAATGGTTTTCATTAAACGCAAGCACATGATGATGAAACAATCGGCGTTGAATACAATCAGAGGTGAGTTGACAGTAAATTGTTTAAGAATATTTCACAAAAACACACACACAAAAAAAACAAAAGAAAACTATAAAAATGCATAAAAAAGTTTCTCACGCTTACAGCATGCACATGTGTGTTCTTGTGCAGATGCCGAGAACAGTTGCCAGCTGATTGCGTTGCCGGATGGAGTCAGCTGCAGCAGCTTTGACGGCGACGCCTGAATGTCGGCAACGGAAACATTTAACACGCGTTTTACGTGCGTGATGCCATAGAACAACAACACAAACATATGTGTTTACATATACATATATCTTCACTAACACTTGCGCATGTAAATAGTTATATTTACGTATTCTGAGACAGGCAGATCTGAGCGAATTTGAATTGTGGCGAAAAAAATTGCAGGTTTAATTTTAGTCCGCACTTTGTTACATAAAAATTACGCGATAACGCGCATAAAGTATCATCGCAGGAATGTAGAAGAGGCCACAAGTCTATTCTTAGCAAAGGGTAAACTTAATTTTCTTCTTTTCATGGATCTGGTGAAAAAATGGAAAGAATTTTCCACATAGGATTACCTTTTCTCTTGCTTCGTACAAATTTTAGTAAATTAAAAACTCAAAAGTTGGGTTTGCCAACTGTGCTTACTTTTAGTATACAAATAGGCGCTACATGCTTTAAGTAGGCATTTGGGTTGCAATTAGCAAACATTATCATAGTTGTGCCTCAGTTATCTATAGGCTCTATATGACCGGTATTAATAAACAAATAATAATCCCAGTATACTAACTTCTCTCGCTAGTTTTCTATAGAACCTCTCTTTTGTAAGTTAGTTATGATTTTTTATTCATCATTTTATATGATTAATGCTGGTATTTCTTGTTAATAGGGACCGCAACAAATACTAATTTAATTTTCTTCAAAATATTTTTTGCAGCGAAGCGTTAAGTTAACATTTTTATAAAATTTCTACAAATTGTTGCCTACATTTAGGCTAAAAAGTTACAATATAATCATAGAAGATCATTATCCATAGTCACTATTACTTAAATTTATACTTCAACCAATACTAACGCACCAACCAATACCATTGCATACTGTTAGGCGTTTAAAATGTTTAAAGTCACAGAATACGCACACGAACACCAGCTTGCTTGCAATTTTTATGTAACACAAGCACAAGCAAATTTGCAACTATTTTGAAAAACTACTACAACAACAAAAAGTGTTGAAAAACAATATGCAACTACAAATAACAACTTAAAGTTGTTGGAGAACTAGAATTACATACAATTTACTGTGTATTGCCGCAAAGCATCCACTTGTGTGTCCAAGTGCGTTGCACGCCAAACTAAAGCACTCAAAAGTAATAAATGCGCACCATATTTGAGCATTGTTGAGCGTGTGGAGTGCCAAAAACAACTACAACTACAGTAACAACAGCATTGTTGTGCAGTAACAGCAACAACTTGCCAAGCAAGCGCTTCAAGCAGCAGCAACAGTTAAAAATATGCAAGCAGGTGCACGCCGCTTTAAAGTATGTGTTCTTATATATATATATATATATACATATGCATGTGTGTGGTTGTATTAATATCCATATGTGTGTGCGTGCAAATATATGCGCTCGCTCGCCACTGCATTCACTGAAGTGTACTTAAATTGCGCATTGCGCTGCCACCCAAAAAGTGTGCTATCGCCAATGCTTGGTCAGCTGGCAGCACCCACACGCACACCCATACACATATTTATACTTGTACAAGTATGTGTGGGTAAGGTACTCATACTCACTTGGCGATGCATACACATGCATTTGTTTGTCATTTAAGTGGCATGAATGTCAGCCAAGTGCTGGTGGGTGGCAAGCACATATGTTTGTTGTTGCATGTGTAAACGAAATTTCATGCTTAAATGCTGCTGTGTTAACGGTACATGTGGGGAACATGAAAAAAATATATATGTATAATAACCAAAATGTAACAATGTTGCCGCGACAATGACAAAAAAAAATTAAATAAAAAAATAATAATAATAGTTGCAGTTTAAAAAATTAATTGTATATGTTTACACACACACAGGCACATAGTGTGTGTATGAAAAACAGTTAACAAGATATATAATGCAATAAAATTCAAAAAATAAAAAATAAAATAAAATCGCAATGGCAATAAAACACTTGACTGAGCATTGCGCTGTTGTATTACTGACAGTTTAATTGGTTCATTGCGCTGCTGCAGCAACAACAAAATAAACAACAACAACAATAATGTGCAATTTTTTCATTGTTTGTTGCCAATTTTCCACTTTATTGTGATTTTTTTTTCGCCCCTGACTTATTTTTTGTATTACGTTTTGTTTGCTTTGCTTGCTGCCGCCACTGTGATTTTCCGCCATTTTTCTTGTTTTGTGTTTTTTTTTTTGCATTTTTATGCTTTTTTTTATGTTTTTGTTGTGTTCACTCACATTTCGCAACATTCACTTTACTAAATGCCATACAACGCTACTAACTACGCCGGCCATTCTGGTCACTTGTCTGCTATAATGGCATTAAAAGCTTTCCAGCACGCGCGCGTGTGTTTGTGCGTGTGTGTAGGAAGGAACATTGCATGCAACAATATTTATGCATGCGGAGCACTACACAGGACAATGATGGTTGCATGTGTCATTTATTAACACATGACAAAATGCCGCAGACGCCCACAATGCAACCGCGTATAAAGTGCCATCACTGCGATTTTTTATTTTTATTTATTTAAAAAAATATTTTTTTTTTTTGCTTTTCATGCAAATAAATATACAGTAAAGCGTTTAATGAAAAAATTTAATAATGCGCATAAATCAAATGCTTGGAAAAATAATTGCATACTCAGCAGCAGAGCCATTTAAGTCCGGAGCAAAAATTAGTTATTTAAAAAAATATCACTTTTTGTTATAAACAAGAAAAAGCGTTAACTTATAGGTGTTTTCGACAAACGAGCAGCCTCTTGGGGAGAAGAGGACGCGTGTAATTTTTCATATCAATATCTCAAAAATTAAGAGGCTAGTTCTCGAACTGGTTGTTACAAATTTCGTGGCAAACTTCATATAACCTGTTCGGGTTATAAAACTATGAAATCATGCAACGAAATATTATTTTAATGCTGCTTTACGAAACGTTTGCAATTATCAACAGTAATTATATTACGAAGTTGAAATTTGAATGAAATTTTTTCGACAAGGAAATACTGGAAAGCATATTATCGCATGCAATTTTTAAATAAGCCCCAAAGTTAGACAGCAAAATTAATATATGACTTTTTAATATTTGTTTCTCTCTAATTGTTTTCGAAATTCAATTCGATCGTTATTTGCTAATTCAGCCGAAATATAGGCAACGAAAATTAAACGGGCTTCTAACAAGCCTTTCATAGCACTTTAGTCACCGAGTACCTACGCCCTAAATGTAGGCAACAGCAACTAAATTCTTTGGTATAAACGGAGACACGTACCTTGTTTGATATTACTACATATAGATCTGTGGAAAAAATTCTCGAAAAGAGGTTTTGCTGACATAAAAGTAGATTGCAACAGCTCTTTAAAAAGTTTTATCGGAAATAACTTTTATGCGTATTGTTTATTTAACGATATTTGATAAAAGAGAAAAGAGAGAGAAAAGAGTACAGCGCATTAATGCAGAGAAATAGTAATAATTTCCAGTACTAAAATTGATAGTTATAAATATCTGTCTAGGTCAGCTGCTTTGATACTTGAAATCCAAATAAAAGTGTAAAACTAATTACCAATACAACTTAAGCAAGTGTTAATAGAAGCGATTCGCTAAGTATGAAAAGTAATAAGCTTTCAATATTATTTTCCGAGCTCATTTTTACTCTACTATGTAAGCTCTTGAGGCAACTTAAATTTTTGAAACTAAAAATAAATCATTTAAATTAGAAAAAAAATATTCTTAAATTAAAAAAAAAAGAATCTAAATTAAACAAAAATCTTTCATAATTAAAAAAAAAATTATTTAAAATTTATTAAAAACCACCTCTGAAATAAATTTGACATTTTTAACGCCTGCAATTTTTTTCAACTCTCATTTTTTTACTATACTTTTAGGCGCGCACCCAAACGATGTGCTGAAAATGCCTAGCCTGTCGCGCAATGGCAACGGTTATTGGTTGGATGCATCCTCCGGTGGCATGGTGTGGCGCACTTCGCCCTCAGGTGACACACTGGATCTGCAAAAGGATCAAATCGCCGACTATGCACCTGTGTGCCTGACAAACGGCACTGTTGGCGTGAATAGCGGTGAAAGCGGTAGTGGTGTTGGCGAACGCAATCAGCAAAGGTGAGTTGCATTTCATTTAAAATTATGGAATTTTTATTGCTACAGTGATAGGCATTGTGCCTGTTGAAATTTATGCGTAGCATAGTTCTGGGCGCTACGCATAGTGAGTGGTTCTTCTGCATTTGTGCTGTACTAAATGGTAGCATGCGATAAATTGCACAACCGTCCAAAACGTGGATGCGATAAATGGCTTATAATTGGCCTTATATTGCTAGGCGCCTAAAACTATGCAACGTTTAATTGATTTTATATGTATATTGCATATCTCTACTGCCAAATTTTAATTTTAAGAGCTACCGAGTTTGTTTGCACTAGTTGCATGCCTCACTCGTTGCAGTAAGTGCAGGCGAAACGCATACTAGACAATTTAGTTGCTACCAGAGCTGCATGCGTCTAATACTCGGCGCCTTTAGTTAACAATATTAGCAAGACCATCACATGAAAGTGTGCTACTGTAACTACTGTAACGTTTATTATGATTATTTTTGCATTTACGCATACTAATTGCATTGAAAAGCCTTTACTTGCTAGTTTTGCTTTGGGAATTTTTCGAATTTCGGTCGTCATTGGATTTGTGCTTGGGCTGCACGTTGCTGATAGCAAATGAAGGTACTTTGCGAGACCACTTTCCTTGCGCATATTTGCGTTTTGTGCGTGTGTGTGGTTGAAAATCGAAAATTGAAGTCGAGAATCAAGTGAAAATTGAATTTTAAGGCCTTAGGTTAATTTTGTTGCTGCAATTTTGTATTTTGAATTTGGAATATGGCTGAAGTGCAAAACAGAAAAAATTATAGAAAAACAAGAAAACACACACACATACGGTTCCACCAAAGCTATAATACCCTTCACAGATATAAAAGTTTCTTTACAAGCACTTGATTTTGATCGTTCAGTTTTCATGGCAGCTACATCAATGCTATAGTGACTTGATCTCAACAATTTCTTCGCAGATTCAATCATTGCGTTAGACAATTACCCGTGCGAAATTTCATGAAGATATCTCGTCAAGTGAAAAAGTTTTTCATACAAGCAATTGATTGCGATCGTTCAATTTGTATGGCAGCTATATGCTATAGTGATCCGACAACGGCGGTTTCGACAAAAGAGCAGCTTTTTTGGTTAGAAAAAGACGTATGCAAAACTTCAGATCGACATCTCAAAAATTGAGGGACTAGTTCGCAGACATGACTTAATCGAATCAGCTCGTCACGCTGATTATTTCTATAATTTAGTTTCTATTATTTCTTTGGAAAATTTGGAAGAACTAATTAGTTTTTGCTTAAAAAATCCTGTTAAATTAGTTATGACTTTTTTGACTGAAAAAATATTGTCTTTAAATACCCCTCTCTATCTTTAATTATTTCAATTAAAATCAAATATTTCAATTTCAATATCGACTTAACAAACAAATAAATGTAAGCCCATTACTTAACACTAAATTTTCATGTGGCAAAGGCAAAAGCAAACGCTGTTATTGCTTTAGTTACCGACGTGGCTGCCTAAATAATTAATAGCTCATCGCTGATGGATATGAGTAGTTTAACATAAATTAATACATTATTAGTACTAATTAGTGTATATAATTATTGTGGCAGCAAGGTAAACATATTAAAACTCGTAACTACAATTGCGAAAGTGTGTGCACTGAGAAAATCGAGACTAAAGGCAAATAATACTCTGGCTATCTAAACGGTCATAAAAGATTATGGGAGCTTAGGCGAATTATTATAAGATTAAGCAAGGCTTTGAATATATACGCAGGCTTTTTAAGGCGGATAATATTGTTAATTACGTTTATTTATGACTACTTGTTTTATATTTTCTGCAAAGCGGAATAATTTTTTTTTTAATGTCAAAAGGGGTAGTATTTATTAGAAGTGCGTTTTATGAGTGAAGTAAAGTAGCAAGTAGTCGAAACTTTTTAATTATTTAATTCAGATTTTGACATACCCTCAAAAAAATAATTTCGCTAAAATTTGAAATTAATCAATTATTATTTTGGAAAAATAAAATTTTGAATATTATAAGTAGATTTAGGTCAAAACTCGTTTCAATGAAAGCTAAAAATTTTCTTATATCTTTTTTTTTAATTTTTGACATAAAAAAAAATTTTTGTTTTAAATTTTTTAACTTAATATTTATTTTAATATTTTAATTTTTTATTTCGTCTACTACTTTTTGAAAACGAATACATAATTACTGATATTTTCTATTTCGTTATTTTATTAAAAAAAAAAACATTTTAAAAGTTTTTGTCATAAAAAATCTTGATTTTAATTTTTTTCTTCAATTAATAATTTTTCTTTCTTTCCTTTTTTAATTTTTTTTATTATGTCTCTTGATGAATAGAAAGTTTTGAAAAAATATATTTTTTTATTTTGCTTTTCGTTTCTGTTTTGCTTCCCACTCGCCACAATAATTTCTCGCAGTACTGGCTGCCACTTTTAAGTATCGCAAATTAGCGGCTATGCTTTTACGCGCTAGCATGTCGCGTTGGCAGTCATTAATAATTCAATATTTGAATTTGCATATTTACGCATAAAAAAAAACTGCCGTACTCTCCACTGGAGCAATATTTAGACGCACAAACATACCGTTATGTGTATTTGTTATGCGCTTTGAAGTCTCAAAATATTTAATACGCATTGGTATTTGGCATTTACGCAAATTGCTCGCATATTTTGCATGTGTCGATGTGGCATTATTAGCGGTTAATTTGTGGCAGCAAAAAAATTCCAAATAAATTTTGTGTGAATTGTTTTCGCTTGATTTGTTTGTGTAATTGTTGTAGAAGGGAGAATGTTAGCGTGTAAATATTTTTCACTTTTCGATAATTGTACAACAATAGATGCATGAATGTGTTTGTATGTATGAAGGCTTGTAAGTAAGTAATAAAGTTAAATGTAAGTGCAGATTAAGTTGAAATAAAATTTTTGGTCAACTGGTATCAAAGCTTAACGCAAATTTGGTAAACAATATAAATTTTTTTTTTAATTTTAAAATTTGGTAACAAAAAAACCATTAATATTATTAAAAAAATTTTCCAAATAAAATTCTTAAAAAGAAACCAATTTTTTAAAAGAAAAAAAATTTTAAGAGAAAAAAAAATTTCCGAAATTCAAATTGTTGGTCAATCGGCATCAAAGTAACGCAAATTTTTATAAAATAAGTAAAAATTCATTATTTTAAAAATTTAATACAAAAAAAAAAAATTATAAAAAAAAATTGTTGTTAAAATTTTTGTAAAATATTTCTATAAATTTTAAAAATTTAATTAAAAAAATTTGAATGCATTTTTTTTGGGAAATAATTTTCAATTTTAATTAAAAAAAGATTTATATGCATATTTTATTTATATTTTTAAAATTTTTTAAATGTTTAAATTAAAATTAAAAATTTAAATAAAATATGCATATAAATTTTTTTTACATTAAAATCAAAAAATGTATGTAAATAACAAAGCTTAATGAAATAAGCCTTTAATAAAATTGTTTAAAAAAATATAATTATGAAAATTTTGTAAAAAAAAAATAAAAATTTAATAAAAAAAATTCCAAATTAAAAACAAAAATATGTTTTCAAAGTTAAAGATCTTGGTCACTCGGTATCAAAGTTTACCGCATATACAAAAAAAATTAAAAATATTAAATCACAAAGCTTAGGAAAAAAATATAAAAATATTAAAAAAGTAATAAGTTATAAAAAAAATGTTATCCAAATAAAAATAAAATAAATAAATAGTGTTTTAAAACACTGAAAAAAAATTTTATTAAAAATTTTGTAAAAATTAAAACTAAATTAAAAAACTTATCGAACTCTAGCGCATATATCTGCAGAAAATAATTTAAATGAAAATTACAATTTCAAAAAATTTATTAAAAAATTAAAAAAAAAAATTTTCCAAGTTAATAACAAAAAAACACGATAGTTACGAACTAAAAATGTTGGCTAATCGGTATCAAAGTTTAACGCATAATTTTGTTAAAAAATTTAAAAAAAAAAATTATATAATAAAAAATTGTAAAAAATTTAAAATTAATAAAAAAATGCCATATTAAAAACGAAGACATCAAAGTAGTTGATCCATCAGAATCAAAGTTTTACGCATATTTTTGATAAATAAATTGCAACTAAATATATGTCAAAAAATTAAAACAAACTAAAATTTAATAAACAAAGTTCCAAATTTAAAAGCAAAAAATGATTTTCGAAATAAGAATTTTCGGACAATCAGTATCACAGTTTAAGGCTTTTTTTTTGTAAAACAATATACATAACTTCAAAATAAAATATTTTATAAATTTTGTTATAAAAAACCAAAAATATATTAAAAAAAAATATCAAACTAGAAACAAAAATATTTTCCAAATTAAATTATTTAAATAATTTAACAATTTTTTAAATTTTTTTTAACAAAATATTTTTGTGCTATTTTTGAAATATTTTCATATTAATTTGTTGATCAATTTTTTATTTAGCATTTAAAATGTTTAATTTGCTTTAAACACTCCGCACATTTAATCATCATGATTTGCTCGCACCCTCTTTTGTTGCCGCTTTAATAGTGCCCATCACATCAAACACTTCAATTCGTTTTAATATCACTCATACGCACTGTTGGCCTTTAAATTTTTAATTGCAAATTCCCCATGAACTTTACTCAATTTCGAATTGCATAAAATAATCATTAACTGCTGTGTGAATTTTACTGTGTAATTTGTATTAATTTGTTATTAATTTACGAATAAAGGCGGACGATAAAACGTGTGCCTACAGCTATGCATATCACACATAGTTACACTCGTATAGTGGAGTGCAAGTTAAAGCTCAAAGCAACGCGTTTATCGCGACAATTGCATTTTTACATATTTAATTAGTCATTAAGGCATATTAAAAAAATTAAATGTAGCAAAAATTTCACAGCGTGATTGTTATGAGGATACATATGTAAAATATACATATTTATATATTGTGTGCCTTCATATATTATATTTATGTATGTATTCAGAAGCAGGTGGTGTGTAGATCGTTCTATGCTTTAGTGATAAGCACTCCCAGCAAGCGATTGAAGTAAAAAATTTATATTTTCACTTAGCTCTCAATTTTTCAAATATATGTGCAGTTTGAGTAATGATGTAAGTATTGAGCATATTAGACTCTTGAGTGCACAGACAGTGCAGCGAAAAGCGTTAATAATGTGAAATCGAAATCAAAAGTCAAGTATAGTATTATGCTCTCACCTCTCAGCAGTAATACACGCTTAACTTTATTAGTGGTTACCTTTAGTCATTTTGGTGATTTGGCTGTTGCTTAGACGCCTATAAACACAGTTACTGGTTACTAGTATATAGTGCAAAGTTGGCTGCAAACACAGTTTGCTTCATTTTGTATGTTAAATTTTCATTGTCGGTCCAAAACACTGAAAGTTTTAGCACTCAAAAAATTTTATTGTAAAAAAATTTAATAAAAATTAAAAAAAAATATATACAAATGGAAAATGATAAAAAAAAAATTTTTTAAATATTAACAGAAAATATTGAAAGTATTGTATTTGATAAAATTGAAATTTTTTATGTTTTTTTTTTTTAATTTTTCCAAACTTTAAAATTTTTTTTTTATTAAAATGTAAATTTTTTTTTAATCAAAAAAATGTTTTCGAAACTTTTTTTATCATTTGTTCAAATCTTTTGAATATTTTTTTAGTTAAAACTACACAGTTTGCTCACTGGGTAACGACAAAGTACTCAAAATACGAACATACATATCTACATACATATGGTATATATACGCCCGTGCAAATAGTCAAAAAGTTATAATAATAATAAAGTAAATATTATGATAATATCCGGCAGATATGGCAACAGCAGCGCGTACTGTTATGAAGTGTATCATATAACTGTGCGAAAATAATTAATAATTATTAAAATTTAATTAAAGCGAAAAAAGATGCAACAGCGCAACATACGCACATACACCAATGCATGATATATATACATACATACACACATATATGCCGAAAATCGGGCAACTGGCATATATTTTACCACTGGCAAAGCTTACTTCGACACACAACTTATTATAGCCATGGAACAGGCGGACAGGCAATGGCTGGCGCTTTGCCGCCTGAACTACGCTATTTGTGCTTGTGTTGTTTTTAACGCGCAATTTTCACAATTACTTCCACAATTATTGATGACAATAACAAAGCGATTGCAGCGCACAGTAATTGCAATTATTATGCTTGTATGGTTGTGGGGGTGTATGTATGCTTGTTTGTATGTATGTATTTATCCAAATAGGCCTATAACTTTCTACTATTAAATGTGCACTTTTGTAATACTAGCAAAACATGTTTGGACTTCCATTTGTGCACTTCCGATTGGGTGTTTTCGCACATATATTTTTACAATAGTTGCACTTGAATTTTTTTTTTTTGATAAATGTGTATTTGCTTAATTTTTAAATAAAAATTTTTTATTGAAAATTATATTTATTTTTGTGGAAAATGACTCTAATCAGCCGAGGATCTGGCAGTATTTTAAGCAGTGTTTGTAGTATGTGATAGTTCAACTCAATTCACTCTTTGTATTATATATATAATTTTGTGAAATAATTTACTTATGAAAAATATGTATCGAATATCTAAAATACTAGCAATATACATGCTAGTATTGCACAGCTGCTAATTTAAATGTTGCAGCCGAAACACGCTTCAAAAAAGAAAAAAACGCCTAAAAGTATACTTCAAAATCATAGGTTTATACCTAAATGCATTAAAAAAAATTTTCAAACTTTTGCAATTTTCAACTAAGTTTAATAAAACTTGAGAAAGCGAGAAAAAGCAAGATATAAAACGTTAAAAAATAGTTTAATTTTAAGCATAAATTATAAAAAGATATGCCTTGCTGGCATTTTATTGATTATTTATTTATAAGGAGTCTAGTTCACATGCTCCTTATGGTTTTTTTTTCTAATAATACGGAAGCTTTATCAACTGAACCTAAATAAATGTCTACGCGCAGTTAATGCTGTATGCCCTCTACTTCTTTTTTGCCTATTTATGAACAATATTATGAACTATTAAATATTAGGTCTAAATATATACTATATATATATTCATATATCAAATCGCTTCTACCTAATCTAACTTTATTTTTGAATTTTTTAAAAGATCTATAAGCAGCTCTATTCCTAAAAGCTAAAACCAGCACTTGCCGTGTTTATCAAAAAAGCGAAAAAGCAAATGCATTGCTAAGCTCACTCTTAGCAAATCTGTAAACATGACGACAGACAATCACAATTGCATGCATTTTTTATAATTTTTTTGGTTTAATTTCGCCATATTTTTACAAAATATTTTTAAGCTTTACACTGAATCGCAGCTTAAATATATTTATTTGACATTTATTGCAAAGGCTTTACTCACACAACGCTTAGTGCGCCATAGAAATTCGTTTTTTTTGCGCTGGCTCAACTGAATGTCGGCAAAAGCGCATTCAAATTCCTATCTGACGCTGACCATTTGCCGTATTTCGGCGTATTAAGCGTTAATACCGTGACCCATTATAAATAAACAAAAGTTGAGTATTTGTCTCTTATCAGCTGCATGGGTGTGTGTGTGTGTGATAGGCAGCGTTGCGCGCCTATAAATCGCATTGAAATCCACTGAAAAGCGTTAAAATTATGATTTTATTGGAAAAAGGAAATGAGTGAAATTTTGCATATTTTTCCGCTACACTTCCCTCGCTTACCGGAAAGTTCAAAGCCTAAAAGCATGCTATGTTTTATTTTAGGACGTGCCAGCTTTTGGCAATTCATAGCCACCATTTATAAAGCGCGCCATAATAAATGTTTTTGTTTTTGTTTTTTGCAAATTTTTGTGCTTGGTGTATTTCGGTCATACTCTATTCGCTTTTTGTTATCTTTGCCGTTGCAGATATGTCGGCGAATACTCGAATATACCCACCGACTACGCTGAAGTGTCCAGTTTCGGCAAGGCGGTCAGCGAATATGGCTGCGGTGGCGCGCAACGACACGAAACCAGCTCGCCTGCACCCTACGCCACATCGGCCATATTGAATGCTGGTCAACACCAGCAGCAACAACAGCAGCCGCGTTATCAGCAGCGACCAGGCGATTTCCGCATGCAACAACAGCAGCAGCAGCAGCAACAACAACAATTCCTGCAGCCACATCAGAGACCCATGCATCCACACTATCATCAGCAGCAGCAGCAACAACAGCAACAGCTGCAACATCAGCAGCAACACTCTTTGGGCAATATTTATCAGCCGATGTCGGTGGCCAGCGAAATTTATCCGAGCAACTCGAGCAATCGGTCCGCCTATTCGGAGCAATATTACTATGCCAAGGAGAAGATACATATTACGGAGAACAAGTTGAGCGGCTGTCACACCTACGACACGGCAGGTGAGCAACACCAACAACAACAACAGCAATTGCAGCTACAACCAATGCCACAGCAATTCAACGGTGTTGGCACGCTGCGGCGGCCACATTGCATGGGTGCCGGCAGTGGACGCTTTAAAGTTATCATGCAACAGCAACAACAACACCAGCAACAGCCCAGCTTGAGCATTGAGAAGCAGCAAGTGCAGAAAATGAATGCTTTGAACAACAATAACCACAATGGCAATGGCGTTGGCCATGATAACGGCACAACAGAGTTGTCGAAAAATTTGCTGGACTTAGATGCCGGCTCATTCTGTTATAATGGTCTGGCCGACTCCGGTTGCGGCGGCTCCCCCTCGCCCATGGCCATGCTGATGTCGCATGAGGACGATCAGGCGCTGTACCACACGGCGGACGGTGACTTAGATGGCGACATGGAGCGTCTGTATGTGAAAGTCGATGAGCAACAGCCGCAGCAACAGCAGCTTAAACAGCAACAACAACAGCCACAGCAACACCTACTGCCTTTAACGCCCACAAATCAAGTGCATCCCAGCGTAGCCATCACACTCAGCGCCAACAACAGCGGCAATAGTTGGCGCACAACAAATCAACAACAGCAACAGCAAACACAACAGCCTTTCGTGCGCGCCTCCTATCGCGCTGGCAGCGGCAGTAATAACCTCATGATGAGCAGCAGTAGCAGCAGCGCCGCCAAAAGCAACACCAGCAGCATCGGTGGCAGCAGTTCGCTGAGTTCGTGTTCGGAGAGTGCGGAAGAACGTCAGCAGCAACAACATAAGATGTTGCAAGGCGGCGATTGTGACTTGATTTATGCGCCCAGCAGTGTGGCAAGTGAACGTAGTTTGTTGAGCAGCAGCGGCAGCGGTTGTGGCAGTGGTGGCAGCATAACGGCTCATCCGCAAGGACCGTTGGTGTGACCGGTAACGCAGTGCGTTAGCGTGACATGTGGCGTGGGTAATGGCACCGCTGTAGGTGTATCGAAAGGTATGGGTTTGATGGGTTACGTGGAGTTAAATGATGGCAGTGCGTGCGATGAGGCAGCTCAGGTGGATTACTACACACGCGAGGTGCAGGAGTTGTTGGCGTGGTGTGAGCGTGTGAACAAAGGCCAGTTGGAGTCAAGTGAGTGAAGGGAGAGGCGGGTGCGTTAAGAGTGGCATGTATATAGTAAAGAGGCGCGGGGCCGACGGTGTCATTTGATAGTTTCTGCTAATGCAGATACATTATTGCTAGAATTTTTTATTTAATATTTTGAAATGATAATTTTGTTATATTATAGAATAGAAAAGAAATTGTAAAGCACTTAAGGTTTATTTTAAGTTTTTTGCCTTTCCTTTTTTTTTAACCAAAAAAAAATCAACTTTGCTCGATAGTATTTTAGCTAAATAGTTATTTTTGCCAGATTACTGACGCTTTACACATTTTTCAGTGGCATTAAAACTATTTTTAGCTACTTTTTACATCTGCAACATGTTGCCAGCAACATTTGAAATTTAAAACTTATGCTAAATTTTATGAAATTTAAGAAATATTTTCTTTTAGCGACAAATGTTTCTTTTAGTCTTGCAACATTGTTGCGCAATAATGTTTAGTAAAAATGTTGCGCAACATTTTTTGAAAATTTTTTTTTCGAACTACTTTGCTAAAATAAGTACTTTTCTTTATATGCATACCTTTTTACTTTTTAAATTTTAACTAGATGTAAGCAAACAGGACATCTATAGGCCTCAGCGAAAATGTTGTTCCACATATAACTTTTTTCGCAACGCTTCAAATGCGTTTAAAGACTGAATCTATAATATGGTATATATCTGTAATTAAAATGCTGCTGAAAATTGCTTGCTGCAAAATGATTTCATCAGTATGAAATAATATTCACCAATAAATATTATATGACACAAACTGAAGCAAGTGATTGTTGTTGTAGTCCTAATAAAAAAGTAAACTCAAACGCAAACAAGTATGTGTAATATATTATACATTTAAATGCGAAATAATACATTACGTTGGTTTATACATATGTTGAACTCTAACACTGCCAGAGGAATACGAACACGCACACACACACATGTACCCACATACAAATACACAAAGTGACAAAGCGAATTTCATAGCGACACACTGTAAGATAGGCTGTTATTGATGTAAAATATGCATAAAAGAAAATGTACTAAAATATAGAAAGAACAATTATATTAATAATATAATAAATAAGTAATTGTCATTTTTTTTAGTAAAACACACACAGATTTTCTAAAGCGTCATAAGAATGTGGCAAAACATATTTGTATGTAATATGCTTCCAAGCAAAGTAATATTAGCCAGAAATTGCAAAATAAAAATTGTAAAAATAAAATTTATTGAAATTTATGTGAAACAAACCTATTCAATGTTAAAGTAAGAAATTTAAATAGTGTGTGTGTTAAGAATTACTCTAAAATCAAATGTAGTGAGTTTTCAATTAATAAACTTTTTGTAAATAGAAAACCTATAATTTAAGTAAAATTTATATGAATGTTTATTTGTAGTGAAAGTTACGGGCAAACATAGTAACAGAGGGAGCAAAAATGTAAAAGAAAAAATATTTGGTATATACATATATAAACTTTCATAAATATATATAGATATATAAATATATATTTATGTACATGTATGTATTTATGTACAATATGTATATGATAAAAGATATTTACATTGTATACTACATATTTTGCATAAGATTTTGTACATCTACTCTTGGCTGTTAGCACGTAGAACCTCGGCTTAAGAGAAAACAAAAATAAAACAAATTTAAAATTTCACATATTTACATAATATATAGCAAACCCATATTATTCTTTACTTCTAAAACTTAAAATTTTTTTTTAAAAAAAGTAGGTAATCTCTATTATTCTGAACATCTAAAATTTAGAATTTATAAAACTTTTTTTGAAAGTTTTTATCGCATGCGAGAAAATTTCAAATCGAACTTGTTTAAAGAATTGGAAGTAAACTTTTAAAATGAAAACTTTTGCTTATAAAAATATTTTTGATAATTTTATCGCATGTGAGAATTTAGACTTGGAAGTAAACTTTTAAACTAAAAACTTTTGCTTATGAAAATATTTTTGATAATTTTATCGCATGGGAGAATTTAGAGGTGTTTTTTAAAGAATTGGAAGTGAAAATACTTTTCTTTTTCACAATATTTGTTTCTAAAATTAAATAAAAAAATTTAATTCACTGTTTTTTATCTTTTAACACATGCGAGAAATTTTCAAAACGGACTTGATTAAATACAAAAGTCAGAAGTCAATTTTTTTTTTTTAATATTTCCTCTTAAAGGTGTATTAAATTTGCACAATGTTTGTAATACAGTCAATGGCGCAATCTCTGAAGAAATTTTCAGATCGGATCACTATAGCATAAATGTAGTTGCCATATAAACGGACCTTTCAAAGTTCTTGTAACAAATCTTTGGAATTAATGAAGGTTGTTATAGCATCAGCTTTTCTTACTTAAATAACTTTGCTTTACGACTTCTTAATTTTTTATCGCAAAAATTCTAACTAAAAGTTTACTTTAGTATCGAAATAAGTATCTTATTTGCTTAAATACTTTTTGCGCGTGCGAGAAAATTTCGAAAAGTATTTGAAAAACATGCTATGTTTCAAAACTTAATATTAAAAATTTTAAAAACCCGACATGTTTAACAACTTATATCGAAAATAAAATTTTAATGTGCTGAAAACACTAATTTTATTATTTTAAATAAAAAACTCGGCTGCATTATTTTTTCGCTACCTTATTAACGCATGTAATATATTTTCAGCACGGAAATGCTTAAAAAAATTATGAGAAAACATAACAATTTACTGCTGTTCATACAACATTCATTCAAATGAAAATATTTTTTCAAACGGGTTTTATCACATGCGAGAATTTTTTATTTACCGAGCTTTTACATTTGCCAGCCAAACACATGTACATAACTGTATACGTAAAAAAATACTAATTTTATGTATATATCAATCTATGTATGTATGTATATATACAAAAACACAAACATATATTTATGAGGAATATGCTACAATACTTAGTAAATATAAACTTAAAATAATAATATGTTATGTGTGTAAATGTGTAATAATAGCAATAATATGTAGTATTTAACTATCAAAATATAATATTTAAATGCAAATAATGTAAATCTCGAAATTTATTTAAACGCTACAAACAAACATACACAAAAAACTGCCGTTATAAAATGTATAATTAACGCATATATCTACTTAATTGCCACTAAATGCAACGTGGCTGGTCTAAATTTCATATATGTACCTACATATTGATATTTCGATATTTTGTTTTTTGAATGTACGAGTATTTCAAACAGTCTGGCCATAAGTTCACTAGTATTAGTTTGTAAACATTTAAGCTTATTTTGTATGTGACTGTAAATTATTCGCTTTATTATTATAATTACAAACATTTTTGCAATGCACTTCCGTTTAATTACAATTTATGTATGTATACATATACATTTGTACCCTTATATGATTTACGCTTGCAACCAGAGCGCAATATTTGTAATAATAAGTACCTTTACGCTTAGACTAAGCATTTGTGTTGGCATCAATTTGAATACAAACATACAACACAAACACATGCCACACTAACACATGCATATATATATATATACGTGTACACAAAATAAATTTAGTTATATAGTGTTGTTATTCTAGTGCTATCTTCCTAAAATCTACTTTATAATTAATATAATTGAGAGAATAAAAAAAAACGAAATTTACTATATTAATTATATATATGTAAATTATATGTGTGTACGTATGCATGTATTGGTAGGCATATATTTGATAATTGCCTTTTCATGCAAAAGGCTAAATTTATAACTAAATAATAGAACCTACAACATACAACTACTAAGAGCATATGTAAAATATTGCCGCAGCGCACAAAGCAAAAAATGTGTGTTGGGCGGGGAGCTAGCAATTAGTATGAATAAATGCCATAACTATCAAATGAAAATCATAAACAATGCTGTTTTTATTTAAAATAATTTTTTTATTTTAATTCTTACTAACGTTGGCTGCAGCTGATTTGAATTATTACTTAAATTAACAGCGTATGTTACAAAGCGGTATTACCCAGCATGTAAGCAAGTACCGTTAATTTTATATATATTGGTTTGGGCAAAAAGAGCGTAACTGAATAATTAAAGCTTGATGGTTTCTTAATATTATTAAATTTTATAATAAAGGTAAGTAAACGACACGTTTTTGTATAGAAGCGAATAAATCGAAGCATATGCGCAGGGGCTATGCTGAAATACTGCAAATAATGGATACTCTGAGCAACTAAGCGACTTTAATTGGGTGAAAGCAGAAGTTAAACGTCCAAATTTACAGAAATTCATACAAACGAATAAATCGAAGCATATGCGCAGGGGCTATGCTGAAATACTACAAATAATGGATACTCTGAGCAACTGTAATTGAGTGAAATCTGAATTTAAGCATACATATTCATATTTGGGAAAGTTTTATGAAGTTGTAAACAAAAAATAATAAAAAAGTTAGAAAAAAAATCAGAAAATATCCAAAAAAAAATAAACGAAAAAAATTTAAAGCTATGCTTGATAATTAACTAAGAAGAGATTAAGAGATTAAATTTTGCGAACCGAAACTCAAAAGCTTGTAATTTGCTAATTAGTAAGAAAGAAAATATTGAAGTATATGCACAGGCGTCACGTAGGAAAAAATTGTGTTAAAAGCAGGGGTGTGAAACGGATTAAAAATTTAGCAAGTTCGGTGTAACTGCATGAAGAAGGTATGCATGTTTGGATTGTTTTCTTATTATGTTTATTATTTTTTAACTTTAAATCTAAAACCACACAGATTTTGTAAAACTTCGTGGAAGATTGGTATTTGATTGCAAAACAGTTCAAAGCTGAAACGTGAACAAAAATTCAGTATAAATAAAAATATATATATGTACAGGTATTTTTTGGTTTTATTTTGAAGATATTTTGCACATAAACAGTTCTAGTAAATAGAGATTCTAAGTAGTTCCTTAAATACCTGCAGTCTTAAAAATATTTATTACCAATAAATTTAGTCTTAAAAATACTTATTATACATTTAATTTGTTTTTAAAATTTTGTTATAAAAAACATTTTCACTTTTTTAAGTTCCGAGACATGAACTTAAAATATCATCGGTTGTTGGCTGATCGCATAAAAAATTAACTGAAAAAAATGTGTGTCTCTTACAGAAGATACTAATGTTATTATAAAAAAACCTAAAGTTCTGATCGTCATCTGTACATGAATAATATAATATATCATACAAACAAAGCATGTGAAAATTCAAAGTATACCTGCAGGGGCGAACATCTAATTTTGGAGTAATTTTTATGAAAGTTTCGCGCGGCCTAATATGTTTTAATATATACAAGATTTTTTCATCAAACGCTTTGAAAAAATAGCTCTTGCGGTCAAAACTTTTTATTTTTTGTTTTTTGGTAATTATTTTTTTAATATAAAATGGCACTTATTAAACAAAAAACAAAAAAAATTGTGCAAAATAACGCCGACGTTTAATAAATAAAATTATGTAATTAACTAAATTTTTAATTATACGCACGCTGTTCTTTGCTATATGACATTTGCGTAGCAGCGCCTGGGTATATGCTTCATTTTTTATGAAAAGCTATTTTTAAGCGATAAATTACGATTTTTTGGACGCACAAGCGCTAATTTCGGTAAGTAGTAGGATTTACTAAAGTTTTTAGTGAGATTAGATGAATAACAGTAAATAAACACATGTAAAGCAACACCGATATGTAATATAATCTATAGAACGGTAAATTTATTAACAATTAATTGCCGCAAATTCCACATAATTACACAGTACATGTGACACATGCTACAAGATAGACAGCAGAACATTCATTGACAATAGAAAATATCACCGAAAAGCTTTAATTGCTACAAATATATGTATGTATGTGTGAGCTACACACTACCACAACGAAAGAACAACATTTTTAATTAATCCCATCAATGTTGTGGCATGTTCTACAAATTTGCAATTTTAAAGCGACGCCGCTGCTGCTGCTATTGTTGTTGCAGCGGCCATGTAGCGCTGTGAGTGAAAAACTGTGCAAAAGCAAAATACAGACTAGGAAATGACCATGCCAAGTGAATAAATGCGAATCAACTGCGAAATGTTGTTGTAGCGAGAATGTTGTTGCACCAAATGGGCGGTTACATTGCTGTTGTTGTTGTTGTGGTTGCTATTGCTGTAGCAGTTGGGCAAATCACATTTGACCAGTGAAATATTCATGCATATGTGAGAGCATATATTACGTGGTAGGTCACCATATACGCTTACACACACACACACACACAGGCAAAAACGTATATGAGTATATGTGTGTATGCGAGTAATATGGTTATAAACTGGCTGCCGCTGCTGTGCCCGCGCCGGTATTACGCAAATTCATTTCAATTAATTTGTGCACACTTCTACAGCAACAACAAAAAAGGTAGGGAACTGCAGCATTTCGAATACGTGTATGTGTTGGCACTGGCGCAAAATACCGTTAAAAACTTTAAAAGCTTTGAATGTGAATATTTTCGTAGTTAAATATTTATTTTTAGTTTCTACATGCTGACAGTCATTCGGAGCAATGCGCAATCCGCCCAAATGATGTTTTCACATTTTTACCAAAAAAAAAAAACAAAAAACGAATAAAATGTTGCAATTGCAGGAGAGATAATAGTGCAGCAAGCAATAAGGAAGTAGAAATGCGGAGTAGCTTTACTAGTCTACCTGTGCGATATTAAATTTAAATTCATAAGTAAAATCATTTTTCAGGTTAATGCCTTTAAATAGTGAAGACTTACAGCTCGAATAGCTTTCACGCCAATAAAACCCAAGACTAAACTCTATAAAAGCAGAGAAATCCATTAATTTATGCATTACAGTTATTTCATTCAAAAGCTGAACTACTAAGCTATATCCAAAGATATCGCAGAATATTTAACAAAGATATATAGAGTAGCAAAGTCATTGAGCTAGGAATTTTGGACTACCAGTAGTTAAAGCTGGTCACAAAAGCACTAAAGAACTGCTAGCAAGCAGACTTCTTTATTAAGAAAAGTGGAAAAGTCAAGCAAAAATATATATAAACAACAAATCGCAAGCAGCGTCTATTTAAAAGCAGGAAAAAATTGTAAACCTTCACCACCAAAATGACTTGAATGATTTAACAACTTCTGCCGCTGAATATAATTATTTTGCAATTAACTAAAACTCACATCCAAATGCTTACGCTCGCTTCCTGCTTTAATTCACAACTCACTTCCGTTTGCTGCTTGCACGCGGTCAGCTGTTGCAACGCCATCTGTCGACCAGTTTCCTCAGCTCTGCTAGATATACATCAGTGTGTTTGTGGGCTAATTAAAAACTAGTTTGTTAAAATTTGTTAGAAGACTTTTTCTACGTGTATACTGCCATAACCGCTATATTTTTTGCGTAAATAAATATTTACGAAGCAAAGGTGATACCATGCATTGTATACATTTGGAAATTTTTGTCTTCTCATTGCATACATTTGGGCGAAATAGTGAATCTTTTGTGTAATTTTAGAGAGATCAAATGGTATTTTTACTAAAAAATAGTTTATAATCTAGGTTGCAAATTTTTGAATTAAAAAAATTTTGAATTAAAAAAAATTTAAAAAATTTTTAATTAAAATATATTCAAAAATTTTGAATTAAAAAATATTTTTTAATTTTTTTAAAATAAGATTTTAGTTTTTTAATTCCGATTTATTTTTAATTTTTAATCCGATTTGTGGGATAAATTAATTTATAATAAAAAAAAATTTAATCCAGTACTTGTATATGAGATTAAAATTTTTTGTTATTTTTTTAGCGCATTAAAATTTCTTTTCATTTTTTTATTCCGTATTTTGATTAAAAACTTGTTTTCTGGTTTCAATCCGGTTTGTGGAATTAAAATTTTTTTTAATCCCGTATTTTTGATTACAAAATAAAAAAAATTGTTAAATGTTAATTCAATTATTTTCTTATTGCATTATTCGCAAGCCAATTATAATTATTGCAAGCATATTATAACCAATATATTTACATATTAAAAACTGATCTCAAATTGATCACAAAAATTCTAACAGCAGTTATTTAGCTTCAAATATTTAATATTTCTTTGCATTCGACTAACCAATCGAAAAGCTCAAAAGATGTCTATGGCAGCACTCTCGATATTTCACCAAGATCAATATAGAAATTCTAGCAAAAAATATCAACTTTGTATAGCTTTTAGTATGGAGCAAGTAGGTTATATTGATAAATCGGTAGGCAACCATGCTGAAATAATATACGTAATATCATCGGTAAGCAGCTTATTGTAAAATATTGTTTTTCAAACAAGTTGACAGTAATTTTTTATTACAACTACAATATTTTATAAATTAATGAGCTTGTCAAATATTTTGTCTTTGCTGCATTGCACTGCATTTTTATTTTATTTCAATTGAATTTTTCAAACAACTACTTTTGTTGCAAACATAGCCACTATTGTTGCTTTTGCTACTTACGCTTGTTAACACAACGCATATGCATGTGTGTGCCACACAATGACAACCTTGCTAAACTACAATAAAAGTTTTCTCGTTAGCGTCGCTAATTACCGCCGCCATTGTCAACAAACAACAGCAACTGGAAACATTTGTTGTACTCATGCATGTCGCTCGCTATATATAGTATATGTGTGCATGCTTACTTACAAATGCGTCCCTGTAGGAAAATGTGAAATGTGGAAGGCAAGTTTTTTCAAAGTGAAATAATACCAGTCGGAAATTCAATACATATATTGAAACTTCGTAAGCTATTAGACAAACGGCGGTTTCAAAGTTTTGAAATGCCCTCGAAAGGCTTATGGCTTTTCTGTAAAATTTATTAGAGAAATACTTTGGTCGGTATATGAACCAAATGCAGAAGAAAGCATT